CCCATCCTGCCTGGGCCCCCATTACTGCCCCCCCCCTCCGCCAGCAGGGGGCAGTTCCTCCCCAGCGGGTGGGGGTACTGGAGGGGAACCCAGGCCCCCGGTGCCTGCTCTAACCAGTAGGCCCCGAACCCTGCCAAGCTGGGCTGGGGTCTCCCGGGGGGGCACCTCTCACCTGGCAGCAGCACCTGGGGGGGCAACAGCGGGGCCACCCCCACCCCAGCCAGCAGAGGGCGCTAGCGCAGCCCCCCAGCTCCGCCTCACCCTGGGGGGGGCAGAGAACCTGGAGGTCGCCGCGGCAATGGAGGCTCTGCATCCCCTGGGGTGCTGGTCCCTATGGGGCAGAGGGTCGCCACGGCAACCTCTGTGGCATGGTGACCGGTCCCCATGGCAACAGCCCCCCCCAGCCATGATAGTGCTGGTGGCAGCGGTGAGCCCCCCGGGGATCCCTGCGGGCCTGCCCCCCCGGCCCCCACTGACGACACACGAGCCAGGCTGGTCTCCATTGCCCTTTTATTGACACTGAAAAGGGGGGGCAACCCCCCCCCTTAAAAACCCGCATAAAAGCCCCCACCCCACAAAGAGGGAAACTGAGGCAGCGGCAGCGGGGAGGCAAGAGGCCCCCAGGGAGGCCAAGGGAGCCCCTCCCCCGCCGCTCTGACCACTGGGGGACACTGTCCCGGGGCCGCGCTGGGGGGTTTAGGAGCCTGCCCCCATTTAACCCGGTTTAACCCTGGACAGACGCAGCCGTATCCCGGGATAGGCTGGGAGCTGCCCCCGTGGCCTGGCCGTGTCATGACGCCCCTGGAGGAGGCTGCCCCGGGATAAACCCTGTCTGTCCCCTCCGGATCGGGGTGAATGGCCCCCGGTCTGGGGGGGAGGGGGGGGTCCATGCCCTGCCCCCCACACAAATACTGGCCCCCCGGGCAAACAGAGAGCCCAGGAGTCCGGCTCCAGGCTCCCTCCCCACCCGCTAGGTCACGCGGCCTGAGGAGAGTTTCAGCCTATAGCAAGAACAGCAAGAACCGTTCAGAATCCCTGAATATTAATTAGGCTGAATATTAATTAGGCTGACATGCAAAGGAGGGGAGCAAGTTTAATTAAATATAAGCATGAGCCGGCTGCGGGTGAGGCCGCAGGAGCTATAACTGGTGGAAAACTCGTTAGGGTTGGGAGCCGGATGTGTGGATTGGCCATGATTTGCATATGGAAATCTGCTGATTAGCCTATGGAAGGATGTGGCTTTGCATATGGTAATGAGTTGGAGTGGCGCCAACCTTCTGATTGGTTTGTGTCTAGGAGCAGGGGGTCCAATGGCTGGGCCCGCGGCAGTGGATCCTGAACTGGGATATGGCGTCGGATCGGGCGGAGGAGGGATTTGCATATGCAAATCAGTCTGTTTGCATACCGCCTGCCTTGGGGGGCAATTTCATTTGCAGATGGATCCGCCAATGGGATCTGGGCCATTAGCATGCGGATTGGTATAGGGAAATGTATGATGATGTGCACGTGGGCATGCGTGTGCATACATGGGTGTGTGGGCAGGTAGGGGTGTGCATGCATGGGTGTGGGGGGGTGGGATGTGTGTGTGAGTGCATGCATGGGTGAGTGGGTGGGTG